CCGGACTGCCCGGGGCGGCGGCCGCGGGGAACGGGACAGGGCCGCGGGGCCGAGGTGAGGCTGCCGCCGAGGTACGGACACACAGACACACACACAGACACACACACACACACGGAGGAAGGGAGAGCTCGTCTCCTTGTCATGCGGATCCTGTCTTCTGAGCGTGCTGTCTGTTCAGGATTTAAACACGAGGCAGGTGCTCACCTGTTCGGCCTAGGATTTCCAACAAGTGGCCTTGTTAAAAATTCCGACTCCATTGCCACTGCTTGACAGCTGAAAAGTTCTTCATCTATTTCTGTATGAGCTTTTTTTATATATAATTAGAGCACTGACTTTTACATGTAAATATACATTGTTATATAGAATCGTAGAATTATTGGGATTGGAAAAGACCTTTACAGTCATCCAGTGCAAAAATCCAAATCACCCAGCAGCAGATTCAGACACCTCTTAAACACCTTCCAGGGATGGTGACTCCATCACTTCCCCAAGCAACCTATTCCAATGCCTGATCATCTGAACAGTGAAAAAAATTCTGATATTTAATCTGAATCTCCCCTGTCTCAGCTTAAGGTCATTTCCTCTGGTCCTGTCACTGCAGTAACAGTAGAGACTGGCCTCCACCTCCAGTAGAAGCTCTTTTTTGGTAGTTGTAGAGAGCAATATATACACAGATACACATCCATACATACGTACATATAAATATACATGTCGTACATAATTAATACTTCTCATATTACTTTTATACCAACTTGGCAGTATTGGGTCAAGAATGCAGAATGACACAGAAGAGAAATAATCCCTATCCAAAACAGTGGCAGTGTTTCCATCATCCTCCTGCATTCTGTTTTGTGATGGACACCGTCTGTGTGGAGGAGCTCTTAGCTGTGCTGCCAAGGCCAAAAGAACAGGTGTACCTACAGCCTGCATTTGTTTAATGCAATCTGTTGTTTTCCATCACTGAAAGACCTGCAAGACTGTGATTTATGGGGAAATACATAAATAGAGATTTCATCATGCTGTAAACTAGCAAATTGCATATGGTTTACAAGGCAATTGAATTCTCATTACTACAATCAATACCTTGCATTTATCTTTATTTTAAATTAAGAGTAGTTAGAATAATGATGGAAACTGGGGACTCATGTAGGGGAAAATCTATTTCCAAATCTCAGTGTTAGGGATCGAGAAAAAGAAGGCTAATACTCAGCATTTATATCTCTAGTGTATTTCCTAAAACAGAAAAATTTCTGTCATTCATTCCTTCACCATGACTTACACAGGCAGTGACCTACAAAATGTAACATCTGCCAGTACACAGAGTTCTGGTGAAGCATAGCAGAATTCAGCCCCAGACTCAACCTTTGCAGGGCGAGGAGCTGTGGGGCCACGCAGAGTAGGTGCCGTAATTATTTGTATACGTTAAACTGTTCATCCTTTGGCACCTTTCTATAGATGTTTTGTAAATTTATATTGGAATTCTTTGTGGAGAATATAATTAGCAGAACACTGTTTAATGTCATGGTTAATGATTTCCTGGAACATTTGATTAGAAAATTAATCAGGGTATGTGTGCGTATGATAAAGCTGTTTAAATGGACCTCCTAATTGCACTGTGGTAAAACACAATGGCTTGTGCCAATATATCACTTTCAAGGTACTATGTTGCAGTAACAGAGAAACACTGAAGGGAATAATTTATCAGACTGTTTTACTAAGCCAAAGCAAATGTTAGTACTTTTGATCTATTATTATTATTTTATACTACCCCTCTTGTGCTCGTTAGGTGTTTCACAGAACAAATACACTGTTGCAACAGCTCAGTTTACCAAGATTAATCATGACTGAGGAAAAAAATCGTGAGAAAGAAATCCATCAGTAAGACTAAAACTGTGCAGAGATTCTACTTAGTCATAGCATGCATATTGTCTGAATCATGGAAAACTTGGTAATTTTGCATTATTTTCTTCTGGAATGAGAATTTTGCAAATATAAAAGTCTGAGACAAAGTAAGTGCATAAAGCTAACCATGGATATTTGCAGAATATAATATACTCTGACTCATGACTTAAAAAAAAAAAAAAAATACCCTCCTAATATTCATTGTTCCAGGGAAGCAGTTTTTCAAATACATTCCTGTGCAAAGTATTTCAAAGCTGGCCTTTGTGTTTAGGCAGTTGTCCACATTTCATTTGGAGACACCTAATTCTTTCCTATAAGAAAAAGATAAAACAGTCAATTAACTGTTCTTTCGTGAGGTTCATCCTTTTGAACTGTCACCTAAAAGTTATGAAGGATTTTGTCAGTAATTTTGTTGTTTTTGCAAAGCAAGCACGCAAGTTTAATACTACTTTATTTAAGTAAGCTAACAAAAAAAACCTTCTTAGCCACAGTTCCTGTGGCTTGGCAGAGGCAAGCAAATGGCACAAGTCTTTTCAGGAAAATGGCTGCTTCTTTCTCTCATGAAATGCCCCAAACAGGTGATTCTAACCCAAATCCCTCAAACTTGCATAGCTATTTGTAAGTTGTACCCATTGAACATGTATCTCAGACTTTTTTTTATACGATCCTACCATCTTATTCAAAAAGTTAATACGGGAGTTACAAAAAGATAGGTCATTGTTAACTCAAAATGCCAATAAAAATTACATTAGGAAAACATAGTCTGTTCTTATGTCTTATAGAGGCAACTGATGTTTGTTTTATCTAAGAAAATCTTTAACAGTTGTGTTTTTATATTGCAACAACACTCATTAATATTTTAAATTTATTGCAATGTAATATCCATAAATGTACCCTGTGAACTTAATTCTCACAGCATGAATGGCTCACAAAACACATTATTCCATTTTTAAGATAATGGATAGATAAAATCTCAAATTGTTCAACTAGTCTAGCCTATTAAGTTTACTAAGGATTGTGGCTGTTAGCAAGTTTATCCGACTAATAAATTAACAAATTTATGTTACAGTTATGAGAAAATTCATACTCTGTTCAAGTAATAGTTTTACTGACAAAAATTTGCTTTTTTTTTTTTTCTTCTGGTAAAACAACAATTATTTTGGCTTTTTTACACATAATTTGATTGTCATTTAGTCAGTGTCACTGCCAGTGTAGTAGTGTATGTCATCTCTACATTCTGTTTCTAGCATAGACTAGGAAAAAGTAAAATCCATAGCTAAAACTATCCTGGAAGATCACGATACTCAGGAAAAGGAAGGAACTGAAAATTTGCCAACTAATTCAACACTAACCTTAGGTTCTTACAAGGAAAAAATATATTAGGCCTTTTGTGATACATGGGTACGGTTATGAACTTAGTTGTAAAAGGTTACAGATTTATAAGTCTACTAAAACGTGACAAAAAGGAGTTTTGGTTTTAATAGTCTTCATAAAGGATCGAAATTTTCCTTTGCTTAAGTTCATGATCAGGATAACTTCTGATTGTTATGAATCTGTTTAAAGAGAATCTTAGAACTGAGTTCAGGCTAAATGCTTCTCGTGGGTAACACAGAACGTTGTTATATTCCGTATCTGTCTCTGCCCCTAATTTGTTACTGTCCTATTAAGACCCAGCAGGGCAGGAACTGGACTTGCAGGGCAGCTGGGAGGTGCCGTTCCCCGGTCCCTTTCCAAGGCTGGGGCACCTGAGCCGGCCTGCTCTTGTGCCTGCCAGTGTTTGCTGAAGGTGCAGGCTCTGCTTCAGAGGAGGTTGTTTTGGCCAGTTGGCCTCTTGATTGTTCGGTGTTTTGTTTGTTTTTCTGGGCTTGCGATAGTAGCCCCTCAGAAAAACCGCATTTCGCCATCCCGAACTGTTTCGGAGTGATCTTCGGGAAGCGAGCCTGTTCCTGGGGCTGGGTCAGCCTGCCTGGTGACCCAGGTTGGTGCTGGCCGGGCTCTCCCCTCCGCCCGACACTCGGGCAGCAGGAGCGGCCCGCCGAGCTGAGCCCACGCCCGCCAGCACTTCTCATCGGCCGCCACAGCTCCTGCAGCAGCTCCTACCTTCCGGGGAGAGTTCTTTTTGCCACCGGCTTGTCCCTTTGTTTTCCCAGGCGACACAACCACCCTTGGCGGGCTGTCAGACACTGGAACAGAGAGCCGTTTCAGCACATCTAGGGAAGCCTGGAATGTGTGGTCAGGGGTGGGTCCGAGCTTGTTCTGGCGAGGCGGTGCCAGCCCCGCAGGGCCGGTCAATCAGAGCACGATGGAGGCAGCCCCAGGGTTGCCTGACCCGGCCCCTGAGTGGCCGAGAGACCGTAAGTCCCACCTGGGAGGAGGGCCCTCGATGGGCTAAGGCTTCAAGACGCCTGACCACAGGACAAAGCAGTTGTCTTTCAGCCCTGTCTTCGTTTTGGAGTTTTTTTGTCGGTGCAACCTAGGATTTGGGAGCTGTATCTGCTTTTCTGTATCTTTCCCGCCTTTCTGTTTTTTTCCTCCTTTCTTCTTCTTCTAATACTCTTTTCACAGAACATAACATTGATTGGGTTTAAAGATTTTTCTCCGCTCAGTGTACTAAGTCTGTCTGTGATGAGTGATGTTATATTGCATTTACTCTTTTGCCAGCGTTCCTTTATTTCCTATGGTTTGCCAGTAAACTTTCGTATGTTTTTTATCTTTTAAGAATATCCGGTTGGGATTGTCTCCTTTGTGTCTGCCCAGAGCAAAAGAATCTCGGTTAAACCCTCGAATTAAGTAACTGGAGTGTCATATGGGTGCCCTGGGAAAGGGTCTGACATTTTCTTTTTGTCTCCCTACACGCGGTCGGCAGTGGGGATCACTCTCTTGCAAGAGATTTGAAAACATTTTGGGTGTTTCTTTGTTCCTCAAGTTGGTAAGATTTAGCAATTTTCTATCTAGTGATTGCTCACTGTTTTTTTTTGCCTGATGCTATTTTGCTTGTTAGCAAATATTTTTTCACTTGTATCTACTCATATTCATTCCTTATTGGTGGAAAGGGATTGGTTGAAACTAAGGGGAGGTAACTAAGTTTAGAGAACCCACTTTAAATTTCTAAATATGTAACTTCTTTAAATTTAAACCCACTTGTTAAACCAAGACCATGCAAATAAAAACAGTCGTTTTCTTTGATGTTCCCTGGGCTCTTTTTTTGGTAACAAGATCATTTATCTCATGTGATGTTTTAAGAATGTATGATGCCACTTGTCTTATCATGCATCTCTTTTAAAGCCCTGCTCTTGCTCTCATCTGTCTTGACTGCCCAGCATGCTATGTACAGTTGGAAGCACTCAAAATAATTGTTTGCCATCATTCATTGGCATCCTGGAAGACAAGTAGTGTGTGCTAGTTAATATTTGTATAATATTTTAGATGGAAGTAGAGAGATACAGATAATAAGTAGAGGGAGGACAGATAATTAAAGAAAATAATGATCTTACTATTTTAATTACAATTAATTATATTTATAATTATTTCTGTATATTTTTATTTTAATAATTCTTGTTATATTTAATTATTCTAATTATCTTAATTAGTTGTCTTTCTTGGTATGTCAGATTGTCTGTAAAGTCAAGCAGCTTTGAGTCATTTCAAACACTTGTTGGTAAAGCTGAACTCATCACACCTCTTGGCACGTATATTTCTTATTTCTTAAAAATATCTGAACTAGAAGTCTTCAGAAAACAGTTTTCTCCCCTTTATTATATAAAAAGCATTATGGTTGTATTTCAGGAAAGTGTTATGGTCGTATTTCTTGTAATTAATTTCTGTTACCAGCAGAAATTCTTTTGGAAACCAGAATATCCTTGATTTCCATCCCAATTCCTTATCACTAGGAGTCTTGAACTGTTACACTTGCAGGATGGTATCAGTGCTAAGTGTCAATAGAATATGTATCTTGCAACAGTTATAAAAGATACTTGGATTTTAGAGGAGCACAAAGGACTTTAGGGCTATTCTTCATGTTTGCATGGCAGTAATTTCCAGACATTTATAAAAGATCTAATTAAATAACTCAAGCTGAAATGAAATTTCAACTGAGAGTTGTGCTTAAACTACAACACCCTTTTTCTTATTACATGAGAGTTTTTACTGAAGAAAACAACAAAGCAAGATCCTGCAGGTTTTAGCAGATTTTTAGCAGGTCTTTACTCCTGAATGGACAGGCAAGAAGAGCATCTCTGAGCACAGTGGATGTCACAGTCGTGTTATTGATCTATCAGTCATACCTTTTTGAAATTTCAAGTAAAATGTAACATGTAATAGATTAATTTTCTCTCTTTTCTAGATAGAATTTAAGAACTTTCAGAAATAGTCGTGGTCTGAATAGCACCATTCTCCTTCTCAAAGCTTTTGAAGTCACCCTGTAAAAAATTAAGATATAAGAAGTAGAAAAATAGTTTGTTTCATCAATTTATTGTGGATTACATGTTGCTAATAATTTCTCACAAAATATTTTAGGTTAGCCTCTTATTCAGCGGAGGAAATCTAATATACCTCCTTCAAGATACTGTGTAGATGGGGAAAAAATCCGTAAAGTCCATTATACAGTTCATCAAATGGATCTTTATGAGGATATTTGAGTTGTGATTTGTGGCACCATTTAGGATACATTGCATACTACATTATTATAAAGTTCAGGTTTGTAATTTAATTATGGACCAAATTATCTTCGGTTCTAACTTTAGTTGAAGTGACTAGGCCAAGCCTGACAGGTGATATAAATTGTAAATGGTCTGAGTGTCATGGGCCGCAATAAAGGCTGTGTTACATAATTTTATACTTCATGTGGGATTTTCGGAGCCGCCTAAAGAATTAAGTGAGCTGTTCAAACCTTGTCTATCATTATGCTATTAAGTGTTCCTAGTAAAATTATTGCAAACATTCTGTTTTGTGCAAAAGAAAATAAATATATATTATTTATATTATATTATATATATTTATTTATTTTTATGTAACATAATAAATATTATATATATATTTATATATATAAATATATATCTTTTCAGAGGATGAAATTGTGTTGAAGTTTTTTTATGAATATAAGGGTCCATAGAAATGTGATCAAGCTTAGTGATTTTTTCAGGGCATTCACTGCAAAGATTTTAAGCCTTCTGTCAGAATTCTGAGATGTAATTATCTTCCATTACTTCCTGATAACTCTCCAAATTCCTCATAGCTTTCCTTTTTTAATATACTTCTGTATTTTTTTATGATTCATTTTCCAAATTTCCTTCTAAGATTCTGTCTTTCATTTTTCCTTGTGATAATTTATATTACTTTCTACTAGGGCATCATACAGTTTGCTTTCAGAAATCCCTTATTTTCTTTTGACAGATGTATCATTTTAAGAGAGGGAGAGGGAGGGAAAGAGAGATAAACACATATATGTATGTGCATATATAATGCTTTTTATGCCTTAGTTATGTATTGCAGAAGTCTCAAAATTGACTATAATTTGTTTATACAGCTTTTATTTCTCTGACTGATTTTCTTATTCTAATCCATCTTTAAGTTTCTCAATCTACTTTTTCCTCTTGCAAGAGTTGTGGATATAATCATATTATGGTTACTGCAACTTAATATTCAGTTACAGTAACTACTGTACATGTAGATTAAGAAAAAAGCATCCTCTTGTTTTTTTAAAAACAACATGTATCATCTGGGGAAATTCCTGAAATACATTCTGTATGAAGCATAATCAACAATTTTGTAGGTAACAGAAGTCACTCTGTTGCTAGCCAAACTGCAAGTTATTTTTTGATGCTCTGTTCCTTGGCAAGTTTCAATGGACAACCTAATTTTTAATGGCTTTTTAACACATATAGTCATAAATTTCTACAGAGCGCAATGCACGGCCTTTCCTATGTTAAGTAGTAGCTTCATCTCTTGTCATAGGATGGATGATGAAGAGTTTAATTGGAGGGTTTATTTTGCATCACAAGTAGTCTTCCAGTGCAGCACAGCTAAGCTTAGGGGTTTTTTTCTAGAAAATTTCTTAAGTGGCAGTTTTATGACAGTGTGAATCAGACCAAACTTCATAAGTTTTTATCTTCCTTCACCTATGTTATAATAAATGAAAGCTGTTGGTTAAGGAAAATGAACATTTTCACTTATCTTTACAAAGTATTTCTGCAGAAATTGAAAGATTATTATGTTGGCTTGTGATACAGAGGTTGTCCTGTAGGACCTAGAGATGCAATTAGCTCTCAGATATGTGTTTGAGGGGAGGGAGGCAAGTGAAAGAAATTGTATTGTAACAATTACAGAATTGCTCTCAGCTGGTAGGGCTGTAGGGGTAGGCAATAGGGTCTCAAGATGGTTTTGGTTCTTTGTACGACAGCCTAACCAGAGTGGACACTTATGAAATTAAGGTGTATTTGCAAGAAAAGTAGAGGCCAGTTGACATTGTTTCTGTTACCTTGTAAATGGAAAACTTAGAGAGAGCAGAATCTCTGCTGAAGTGTCATGGTGAGCTCCAGCTTTCCCTAAGGGATGTGCTGCTGAGGGAGATACCATGGCAAGCAGGACAAGGGGCCTTGCTAGCCAGGGCCCATCCCACTTACCCCAGTCAAAGCAAGAAAGACCAGCTCAGAGGTGATAGCCAGGTTTATCCATAGTCCAGACTGACAGGCAACTTTTTGATGATGAAGAAAGTCTGAGGAAGTCAGGCCAAAGATCAGGGTTAGGAACAATTCCCAGTGACTGTAACAAGGTGATGATTTCGTGTATCCACAGTGATGAAACATGAGAAGCTTGGGAGTCATATACAGAGCAGGATCAATAGGGTTCATATCTGGCAGAGTGAAAGTCTGTCTTCTTTTCTGTGGTGTGATACAGGAATCCATCATGTGTGTGGCCCATGAATAACCTCATGAGGCTCAAGAGCTCTGTTTGTTGCTTCTACAACCACCCTTAATCTGAGAGAAAAAAAAAATCCATTATAATAAGTGTGCCTATTAGTCTCTGAAAAGTAATGTAATTCATTATGTCCATCCATCTACAAAAATGTATTTGTTTTCATTCATGAGTTCATTTCCCCTTGCATTGAACAATCATGCTGGTACCAATGAAGAGGAAGTCTCCTCGAAAAAGTAAGGAAAGCCTTTGACAAGATTTCAAGTCAAGCAGGAAGTCATCAAGAAGTCAATTACTGTAATCCACTAAGTGCTCATAAAATTGTTGTTTACAAAATGTTTTGTGAGCTTCAAACCTGGACATCAAATAGATGCAGGTTTTCCATTTAGAAGAGCACCAACAAAGACCTTTTTGTCCTATTGAAACATAGGGAATATCTATCTGCACAGTCTTGCAGGATTATGGGAGATTAATAAAGGCAGCCAAAATGTGATAATCCAGATACAGCATTTGGGTGGATGATACATACTTTCAAGCAGCTTTCTTTATATGAACTACAACATGGAAAAAGGAAGAATGTTGCCCCAAAGGTGGCTCAAAATATACATGATTAAAAGTAGTACGGTGGTTAACTCTTTTTCATTCTTTGTGGGAAATAAGAATAGAGTACCCAGAAAGAGTATTTTTGGAAGAACATCATGCATAGGAGTAAGAGCAGGGCAAAGAGCTCATCAGCAAAAGCAGCAGGCAGGCTTGTGTATGGAATGTTGCTGAGAACTGAGCACTGGAATGTACCAATTCCAAATAAACTGTATTGCTTCAGCATATCATGAGCTTGACCCATCCACCTTCTATCCTCAACAATGACAATGCTGTTACTCATCCTCATTGTCTCTCTCCTTGTCCCTGTATTGATAACTCCAAGTTCTGCTTAGGTGATGTGATTTCCCTGTGGCCCTTCATGTCACAAGTCAGAAAGGGCACAAGTGACAATATAACTGAAATGAGAAAGTATTTCAAAGTACTATGGTTCTGTCAAACAAAATATGTGGGAGTTTTGTAGCATTTATGTGTAGGGGAGATCCATATTCTCTGGCTAAGGACAATCTAATCAGTAAAGAACTAAGCTAGGCTCTTTCTATGATTAAAGAGTTAGCATTTAACTGAAGTTCTCCCTTTTTTCTAGTGAAGAAAACGAACACCTACATAAACAGTTCATCCACTCTTAAAATATGAATTTAAAACAAATGGAAAGTAGAACATCTGGAGATCCTTCTATGTCTTCACTGACTATGGAAGATACTTTGATACCTGGTTTAGACCAGAAGAGTACATTTAAATGCTAAAGCCAGGTGAGGTAAATCTCATTTTCTCAAATTGTTCTGGGATTTCAGCAATTTTCAGTCAATAAATTCACTTTCTTTCAATAGATTTTATTACACATATTCATATAAATTCAGAATCACAGATATATTTAAATAGCAATGTTAATGACTCCTTGGAATTAACAATAAAATTCTTTTGTGATCCTCAGAGAATAAGATCTTGAATAATCACACTTCCAACATAATCTGCACATCTTTGAAAATAGTTTTTGATAGTCTGAAAACTGAAGACAATTTTTTTCTTTTCTTCCCTGAAAGATTTAATGACTAGTTCCTATACTCCTTTTGCTGCAGGCTGTTATCACTATGGATATTAAACTACTTCAAAAACTATGGGAAGTGTTAAGTTGCAAATATACTCTCCTGTTGTTCAGAATTACTTGGATGGTGATTAAAAGAATTAATGCTGCTACTAACCTAAGAGTTCTAAAACATTTTCTTGGTGAAATCTATTCCATCTTACTGTTTTGTCGTTTTGGGGTTTTTTTTCCCTCTTTTCTGCTACAATATGTTGGGCTTTTTTTTCTCATTTGCAGAGCTTTGCATTCAACCTTGGAAACTTTTGCAATATGAAGAAATTAACTCTCTAATCAGTACATAACAGCAGTCCCATCTGTAGAAAACTGTTAGCTTTCTAAACGGGTACCTTTCTGCCTTCTCCCCAGATGGCATTCAGTCTATGAAGAAGTCATATGTAAGCATCCACAAACAGGTTAATTAATATTTTTAAAATCTTTCTTCTGTCTGTCTTGCACAGAGACAGCAAGCTTTTGGGGCATTGCCTTTTTTTTATTGAAAACAGCTCTGGCATTTTACAATAATAAATGTCTTGATTAATACACAGAGCTTGATACTTGTGTTACATGAGAAGACTGGAACACCTATATTCTATTTGATTTCTAGACTTTCTCTGTTAGTTTCTGCCTGTGCCTCCATGAGAAAATTCACCAAAAAAAATATATCAGAATAAACAATGCTTGCTTTCCATACTTTCCACTCCTCAAATAGTATTACAAGTAACTAAGTACCTGTTGTAATTTCTAAATGTTCACCATATTCAATAAATAATCCACACTTTATAATTTATGTTGTTCAATAGTTTTCAGATTTGTGGTATTTTCTAGCTTTGAACTATACATGTGCACAATCTCATAATTGAATATTTTATCCCCATGTCTATTAGTATGGCTTCTGAGAGGGAGGTGGGGATGGATATAATTATCAATTTATGTTTTAGGTGGAAATAGAGAAAAATCATCTGTGTATCTACAATCAAAGTTGTCACTGTATAACCATTTATTTTAAACTGGGAGATTATACAAATTCTATACTCATTCAGATTCAGTCTTATGTAAATCATGGCTTTGCAATTGCTTAGGAGTTGTATCCCATTAATCTACAGTGACAGTGTTCAACAGACTCTAGAAAGTCATTTGATTTCACACTCTGTAAATGACAGTTCTTGATTTTCTGTAATATTTTGGATCACAGACAAAACCTTGTTTAAGTAACTACATATTAGCTGGACTGTTACAGCTGAAATGCAGAACTGTTGTGGTTGGGTGATATGATCAACATTCATCACAAACTAATAATGGTGATTCTGTACATCTTAATTGGAGATCACACAACTCTGTGTAGTGTGAAATAAGATGTCTGGGCGATGGCAAAGATTTTGACTGGTCCTTGTGCTGATAACCTGCAGAAGATTTTAATACTCTGAAGTCACACCAGATGGGCAATCTGCTGCAGTATATACCTTGGTCGAGTTTTTTCTGTATCTGATGTCACCTCAAGGGAAAAATAATAAACAGCTGCACTAATGACATTTTTTAATCTCTCTACTCTTGATTTACCTGAGCTTTGGCTGATGCAATAGTCAGTTTAGGAAAACTGTACAAAGACCCTCTACAATACTAAGAAAATGGACCAGAAATGTAACTGGAAAAAAATGAGTACCCATTATTTAACTGCTCTATGCATGCCTTCTAATCCTGTGTGCAAAATTTAACTTGTTGCAAAGTTTGCAAGAGCATACAGATATGAGAAAAAATGGCAGAGAAAAGTGTAAAGGAGTACAGATAAAATTTTGATTAATTTTTATAGCTGAAGGATATTTAGTCAGCTTTCTGGATCAATGGGGTTATTTTTTCTGGTAGTGAGTAGACAGCAATGCCAGTTCTCCCCTACTCCAAGGTTTTGCTGGATACATTCTTTTGTAGAATATTCCATAGAAACAACTTGAGTCAATTTGAGTTCTCCAGCCCCCATATCTGTTTTATATCATATTTTGTCTGTTTTGGTACAGGACAACTCATAGCTTTGGGTGTTTTGTAGTGTTGTGCATCTCTTTCAGTGTGGAATTTTAGCACAGTTCATCAGCTGGGTAACCTGGTAAGTAGGTCATGCAATTGATATGAAATAGGGGATATAGTCAACTTTTTTAATATTAATTTAAATAAATTGTTTTGGACTATAGCAAATATGTCGTGTTCAAAGAGAGAAAGAAATGTGAAGAATTAGGATCTGCTGTTATAATAACTGGATTTGAATTAGAGAGCCAAAGAACAAACAATATGTTCTAATATGCAGAAACATTTGGCACTTGTCACTGAATAAATAAGATATCATCTACCAGGGCTTTGCCCTGATGTGGCTGCTGAAGACAAGTATTGTGAGTAAATGGTAGAAATTGTCTGAGTTGAAAAATTGGACATGTAAAAGACCACTAGAATTTTCACCTGGGTTGTGAAAGACAAGCAAAAAATTTAAGTAATGCTTATATTTGCCATCTAAGCAATGAATGAGGAGTAAGACAATCATGATGTCCTTTACTTCTAACTATATCTGGCTTTGTCACTTGTTATGCTTCATAGTCTTTCATTAACTCAAGCTAATTGTTAAGTAACTTCATCATGTCAATACACTATGAAGTTGGGCTGAGGATGGGGCCTTCCACACATGTGAAATTCATGAAGGATGAATGTAAAAAAAAAAATCTGAAAATGTATAAGAATCTGTTAGTGATGCAGAAGCCAAATGTGTAATACCAGGAAAGAAAAGACATCTGATAAAAATCCTGGTTGAAATTGGAAACTGGAATACACAGCTGAAGAGTCAGAATTAATGTATAAAAGCATCACATAGCTAGTATTTCCTAAGAACTGAATTAGAAGAACCAATTTATGCTTAAGGAGCCTACAGTGCTCTGAAAACTACAGACTTAAAGGATAAGAAAGATGATAGACATATGATAGACACATGCATGGGTTGAAATTTTGGTACAGACCTGTTCATACTATGGTAACCAGGATAATTACTAACATGCTGAGTAAGAAACAAAAGTGACCCCACTACTCTGCAGAAGTAAAAGTGATGACAGAAAAAGACTGTGCCAGTCCCATCACTGGTTCCTGTTAGTCCATCAGTACAGCAATATATAAAGTTCTTTAGAGTACTGGGGCATTCAGTTTGTCTTTTTCACTTTTCTAGGGAGTTGTGCTATATCAAAACCTGACACTGGGAGAAGTTGGGAATTGCTGGAAAGCCATAATGCATGGGCTGGAGCTGATCTGGCTCTATCACTTCGGCCTGCGACAGGAGTGGGTCACAGCCCAGAGCAGGATGACCCAAGGTGTGACTAGAGCACTTGCTCTAAGGCTCTTTGGCTGCCAGTCTGCATTCTGAGAGGACAAGAGGGGAGTCTTTTACATGGCATAATAGAGAATTTATTGCTCTGGGGAATCTTGGGTGCAAAAGACAGAAAATGTGAGTGTGCAACAGCTGAAATAGGGAGGTGGTTCAAAGGGAGGGTACAAAGCATCAGCTAATCAGAGATATCCTGGGGAGGGTTCACAAAATCATCATCCAATGAGGGAGGTGGGGAGTGGGGGGTGTGGGAATAGGATCGCATGGACTAATCAAACATCGAAGTTTAGGGGATTTGCAAAGTGGCATTCCAAGCATGTGGTGGGCCTAAGATAGGATTGACAGGAGACTCAGGGTAGATTGACAGTGTGGGGTGGGAGGGTCTCATTTGGACCAAACCATCAACTTGGGCAATAACAGAACATACCATTAACAAAAAGCACACTGCAACAAAGCCACTTGGTAGTTCCAGGATACTTAATTTACACTGTGTTAGGGGACTAAGCCCCTAACGTTTTTCAAAGTCAGGACAAGATGCTGAGAAAGCTTGATACTGCTTGAAATTTTTAGGAAAAGTTCTTTCACCTTCCATCTTAGTCATTAAAAACCTTTTTGGCTTGACTTTCCTTCTTTGAGAATCAGAGAAGGCAAGATAGAAGGAAATTACATGAGCGCTCCAGCACATTGTAGGATAACAGGTATTTGACTTGCCATGAATGAGCTGAAAATCCAGATAGGTGATTTGTTTTGAAAGTATGATTTGCTGAAAAGTGTGTTGCCTTTGTTTGAAAAACCACAAACAAAGAATTATGCTAATTCTGAAGAAGGTTGCATCCTAATGTTGAACTTGAAGAAAACATAGCCAATTTGGATTATGATAGACATAGCTGCCTTATGCCTGAGGCCTGCTCAAGAACAAGTAATATCCTGCACTGTTTGCCTCTGAAGTGCTGATTAATGAACAAAATCCTTTCCAGAAAAGAGGGTCTAAATGTCTCCATTCCCAAGAGTTTACATTCTTTTCATTGAGATGCACAGTACAATACAGTGAATTAAAGCAATTTTCAATTCTGTATCTGAATGTCATTCCCTTTAAATGAGATACTGGCAGTTAGATGGCTTTGATTGCTGCCAGCTGTCACTAGCCCTAAGGAAAGCTGAGATACTTCTACAGTGGAAGATGAGATCAAACACATCACAAGTTGTGTCAGAGGATTAGTGAGTTAAGTAAAATAGATGTGTGTTTACACTCTTCTAGTCATAAACAAGCTGTCTTTGAGTTCTCTTTTTTTTTTTTTTTCTTCTCCTTACAGAGAACTTAATAATCCAGTATGTTAACTGTGTTTTGTGGTTTCTGTTCTTGCTTTATGGAATACAAATCTCTATGTAGGGAGGAAAGGAGCTAAAACAGCCATTTTCCTGTTGTCCAAATGTCTGTCTATTTTACTTGGATAAGTACCATTTAAATAGACAGCTAGAGTAAAAGTGGTTTACTCATTACTATTACTTATTATAGGAAATGGATATATGGGCTAAATTTTCAAAACTAGACACTCAAAACTTGAAATATGCAGTTAATTCATTAATCAAATGTCTGCAGTGCAGTACAAGTCAGGTATTAGAGTTGCACACAGTCTATTACTTTGTATTAGTTTCTGTATGCATAATTTAGACATACACACCACATTATGCCTAATTTTGTAAAATGTAGTCTGTATGTTTTGTGAGTCCTCTTCTGTTTCTTCTTATTATGCCTGCTTACTGTTAGTGTTCAGCAGAAAATTAGCAGAAAACAGTAAATGTGGAAGTGAAGACTGGCAATGCAGTTTAGAAAGTCTAAGAACAATCTTTAGAATTTTAAATCATTACATCTATGCACTGTCAAGTGGCTGAGAATATAAAGTGGTTTTTTAGTAGGGGCATATTGGCTAAGTAAGGAGGCAAATCACCAAGGCCTCCTGTTCTTTCATGAGGCAGTTCTTAAATCTCTTTAAAGAGGAAGAGAAGTCCTAGACAACTCACAAACTCAAAAGCAGAGACCAGACTGAACAGTCAGCAGTCTTGGTAAAAGGGAACTAGAGAGGGG